TGTATTTTCTTCCTGGTTGAGATCTGCCTACGAGTAGGATAAAGAAGTGTGTAATTCACTCAGGGTAGTATGTATTTTGGAAAGAGACTGAAAGGGAATGTACTTCCTTGTTCAAGATGCTACTCTGGTCATTCCTGGCCAATTGTCCATTAGAGCAGTGCACAGAAAGTTTATGATGTTTGTTGCCAGTGTCTGGGGTGGACAAAAGGGGACTGTTATGATGCAGGAATTCTGGATAGAGTAGTTTTCAAAAGCGTTATTGAAACAGAGAGGAACTTCAGCTGCTTGCACTTAAGTGAAAGTAATGGTATGCCCTCTTGTGAGCAAACCGTAAACAACTGCCTTCCATGGTGGTGAAGCTCACTGGTACTGATATGATGCTGCACAGTAAGTTTTAGAAACGTACAGCCCTATGTTGATTTAGATGTAGTGTGTAGAATGACTGCTAGGAAGTGTAAATTCCATGGATTCTCAGCTGCTATATGGACTTGCTTTTTTCTTCACTCTAAGTATTGGTGAAGTTGTGTTACTTTCATCGTCAGAGGTATTTATTTTGTCCTCATTGGAGGAAGTTCTGGGATTTCAGTGTTTCTATTTCTGTATTGTTGTTGAGGATAAGGAAAACTATCCACCTTTAAAGTGAAAGTGAGAAACAAGTGCTAAGGGGTCTTCGTAACTCTTAAGTGACTGGAACTAGGCTTTCTTTGGAAAAGAGTTAGGGTTCTCTAAGGTAAGCTGTAAAGCAGTTGCTGTATCTCCCAAGAGGACACTAATTTCGGAGCAGAGCTTAAATTAGCTGCTCAGAAATACCCTTTGTAAGAGCCTTTCTTTTCTCATTTAAGGAGTGAGCAAAACAAAACCTGGGAGAGAAGATTTTGATCAAAGTTTTTCTTTATGATTACCTCTCGTGTCACTATGGGCAATTTTTATCTGATGCTTGTGACAGAATGGAGTTTTGAATTCAGATCTGTAAATAATTCTCTTTTTGCACTTAATGATTGGCACTGCTTGAAGCTGTGGAGCTGCTCTCCAGTGACAGGGCATGAAGTTTCTTTAAACATCAAAATTATTTAACACTGAATGGAATTTTTGCTACTTCCTGATCTCTGATTTAGACTTACATAATGCTTTGTATCCTGCTTATTCAGTATTTTATGTAACTTCGTATGTAAAATTTTATTTAACAAATGTTAAGAGTTGAAGCGTAATTAATTCAAAAACTAAGTTTAGCTTAATCAGATGGAAAAGCTTCATTTGCAGCTGCAAGTCCCATGTTCTTCTAGTTAATGGCATTTTCAGGAATTATTTATTTTGAGAGCTAATGTAGTAAATGAGGTAATAAAACTGTTTTTTTGTTTGTTTTTTTTTAATCTTAGGAACAATTGCTAAAACTGACTGTAATAAACAAGTGCTGGATAAACTGCAAGTGGAACGTGAAAGAGGAATTACAGTTAAAGCACAGTCTGCATCTCTCTTTTACAATCATGAAGGAGTAAACTACCTCTTAAATCTTATTGACACGCCAGTAAGTTAAGTATAAACATTGTTTAAATCACACAAAGCTAAATGTTTTTATATTTAAAAGTAGGAGACTTCTGTCTTCTTGTGTTGGTTAAATTTCTTTCTTTTTGTAAGAATCGTGAACCTATATAGAAATGAAAACATCATAATACAGAAATCTTTGCAAAATGCTCTAGAAATACCTGAAATTGTAAACATCTGTTTTCTCCACAGGGCCATGTAGATTTCAGCTATGAAGTATCACGATCACTGTCTGCCTGTCAAGGTGTCATACTTGTGGTGGATGCAAATGAGGTAGAGTTCTTAATTCTTGTTTTCTACTTAGTATTTCATCAATTTCTTTAAGCAAGCTAGAGAGAAGATTAGGTGGTTGGTTTGGTTTTTTTTTAAATAAATATTCTTTACATTGCCAAAAAATTAGGCCTATATCCATAGTAAATATCCCCATTTAAGTAATTTTCCACTTCATCTTTTGTAAACAAAGGGGAAGAAAACCAGTAGATTTTTTTTTTTTTTTTCCTTTTCTTCCCCCTTGTCCCTGCTTCTGCCCTCTCTGGTCCAACTGTGATATTAGGCTTTATAGTTTCATTCATTAGCTTCTCTATCTCTGTTTTCCCTAGTCCGGTACATGGATCTAGAAGGTAATCTTCCTTTTTTTTGTAATTGGAGCTATTCTTTTGCCAACCCTTTGAAAGAAACATGAGATACAAACCTTGTAATTTGTTTTCTTTTTTGAAAATAACTGTAAGGTAAGTTGAAGGTATGTTACTGCCCTCTGGAGTAACTACAATCTTATTACTGTGATAAACATCCTTTTTCTTTGTCTTATTTGTGAATAGTTTATTGTAGATAAAGAATATGTTTTTGAGGTACCTGTTATGGTCTTGGCTTTTCAGAAATAAATAACATACACAAAAATATATACTTGGTGCATAATGTATGCATAATAATGTGTTATCTATAAATAGTTCCATGTAAGTGGTCACACATACAACATTATTATTTTGTCTACTTATATTTAGATTGAGAGAAATGATAATTGAGAGAAATGATAATTAGGAATGTTTTTTTTCTCAGCAATGTGTATAATCAATCGCCTTTACTTATTTTCTGTCCTACAAATGAAGGAGTAGATAGAACAGTGAAGTGATCTTATATTGTATAGTATGCCTAAAACAAACAAACACCGCATGAAAACTCAGGAAGATTCCACGTTAAACTTTTTTAATGTTTATTTTCTAGGGTATTCAGGCTCAGACAGTGGCAAACTTCTATCTTGCATTTGAAGCACAGCTTGCAATAATTCCTGTCATAAATAAGGTAATAAAGGTTTTCGTTTCATAATAAATAGTTTGGTTGTTTATATGTGTAGAAGGTTGATAAGAAATGTATCCTCAAATAGAAATATATAATGAAAAAATAACTAGAATGTAATACCAATTTTGTGTATTTGCTAACTGTTTTATTTTCCAGTAGTTGCTGATAGCTTCAGTTTCTTTGTTGTAAAATACATATAGAAGAATTTTACAAGCAGCACCGAAAAATTATTGTGGTAGCTGTATGGTAAACCAAGGTCAGAAGCATTGTGTAAATTGTATGTTGATAAGGAGATCTGAACCAGTTATAGTTTGCAAATAAATAAGCTTGAAGCAAACAAGAGCTATGGTATGAAAAACAACTAACCATTTAGGTATTACTCAGTACTGTGTATTTTATCTTAATGAGAACAAGCTGAAGCTCTGCTATTCCAGGTTTTCAAATTGATTCAATGTTAAATACAGGCAAGAATGTTTAGCTGGTGTGGGCATTTGGGCATGAATGGCCAGAAAGGTGCTTGGAGCATGTGCTCTGCCATGCTCCAAGCAGTCTGGTTGTGATGTGGCTTTTGGACAGTACTAACCCTGCTTTTTGAAATACAAGATATTTAATAGCTGTGGCTTTTCAACTGGAAATTACAGATGTGAGCGATTTAGAAGGCTGTCAGCATGAGCTTAGGTTGCCTTGTATTTATATGTATACACTTGCCTTAGTGATGTATAACTTGTATAATTTCTATGTCACTTCTCAGTTGACTCTTTAACCTGAGAACACTTAAGACTCTTGTCTGTGGATAGGAAGGTGTGTGGATAGGAAGGACTTGAATAATTTGGGATATATGTAACAATCCTGTAGCCCGTCAGAATTTAAATGCACCACTTTATGGACGCTGGGATTCCTTCCATTTAAAATATGTTTCTCTGGTGAATCTTTGAGTGGCTTTCTACAGAAATAACTTTAAAAGTTCTTGCTGTGATAATTCATTTATTCCTCCATGTACTTTAGTACTTTTGTGGTTTTTTTTCTTTTTGTTAATGATACGCAGAGGAGATAACATGAATAGCAGCTCAATATTTAAAAAGTGTAGTCTTAGTTTTAAATGAAATCAGAATGTTGTGGTTTATACAATTTTTGTGGGCTGTATGATTGGCATCACAAGATTAGATATTGCTCAGCTTAAATTAATTGGGTTTTGTAGATACATATTGTACTTAGTGTTTGATCCTATAAACAATATAGGTAGCACTTATGCTTTCAAATTACTTTGTAAAATAAAGATTTTTACCAGCTGATGGACAAAGTTGTTTTATCTAAGGAAACAAACAAAAAATAATCTAGTTACAGAGGGGATCCTTCCTGAAGTCAAGCAAGGAAGATTTTTTTTTTCTAAAATTAATCTTGTTAAAGTTATTTTCCTGAAGGCATCCAGTATTTACTCATAAATACATAAAGGTTCCTTGACTTGTATATGTGGGAACTACAGCACTGGGTTATACTGGGTTATATGGAAGATGTGATTGCCTATTTAGCAGTTTGTTGTTTTTTCAGATTGACTTGAAGAATGCAGACCCTGAAAGAGTTGAAAAACAAATTGAGAAGCTGTTTGATATCCCTATAGAAGAATGTGTAAGGGTAAGATCTCTTAAAGTTTTATAACATGGGTGATTGTACATCTATATCTACTTTTTAGCTAATGAAAGACATGTACATGTAGTTGATCAACAGGTTGTCATCTGTCTGCCTTTGTCTGATGTTTGTGAATTTCTTTAAAGATTGTCTCCTGGAAAACAAGAGTGGAGAATGTAGTTCTCAGTTAAAAATTCTAGTATGTCTTGGTGAATGGTATCAGATAGATTTTAAATTATTTCCCATATAACAATAAATTGTTTTCATTTTTACCATAACAATAATTGCCATTCAGGAGAGAAAAGAACTGTTACAGAATAATTCATTATTAAATAAGCATTTCATAATTATAGCATTCTAAAGTGTGCTTCGGAGTGCTTTTATGGCTTATATTATCTGTGGCCACCAAAACTGTCTTAAGTAGACGTGACACTATTTAGTAGATACTGAATGAGTGTAAGACATATGTCTTTAAAAAATTGTTGTTGGACTTGTTTTAGATTTCTGCTAAAAAAGGAACAAATGTTGAAAAAGTTCTTCAAAAGGTCATTGAGAAGATTCCACCGTAAGTCTGTATTTAATTATGAAACTTTCTACGCTTAAATGCAACTCATGGTTTCCTAATTATAACAGTGTTGGCAGTAGTTTTGCACTTTTTATTCATCTGATTTAAAGTCAACACTTTAAAGAGATGTGGGAGAAATCTAATGTTGGAACTGGTTAAGTCAGTTTCAAATAGCAAATCAGAAAAAATGACAATTGGGAGTTGAGATGCCTTTTAAAAAATGAGTGTGTGAATATCAGTGGAGAAGAATTCTTTATTCTTAAGAATTTGGAGGCGGAAAGTTAATTCTGTCTAAAATGAAAGATGAGAGGTGAGCCACTAAAGGTGGTGCTTTTGTGACTGTTTATATAGTTTCCATGAAACTCGGTGTTTAAGAATGTGTGCTGTTACTCCTTTTGAACATGCTATTGGTATGAACAATGAATCCAACCTTTAAAATAGACTTTTATCTAAGAACTTGATGGCAAATCTGCTAACTTACAGTTCAGTTTTAATCAACATATTGCTATTCATTTGTTTTTTCCTACTAATAGCTAATATTTGTAGTCCTCATATTAGTTAATAATTATAGTTAAAAGAAAACACAATGAAGATATGAGATTAGGTTTCCATGAAAGATGGCAAACCCAAAATATCAGTTGATTACTTTTTTTTTAAACTCAGCTGCTGGAATGTAACTGTTAAATTTTTGTTGTTCCCCGTAATACAATATTTTAAGCATCAGTTTCAGCTGCTGTGAAACCGATACGATGGATACGCATTTGTTTTTGTTCTATTTGTACTGCTATTGTATATGGAGGAAATAAGTAAAGATTTGCTGCATAATACATAGTGAAACACTGAAATGATGTCTGGTACGTTTAGTGAAAATTACTTGGTAGTTTTGTTAATATTAAAGTTTTTGAGGTGGAGGTGCTTGCTCATTCAATGTTGGATGAAAAACACACTGCTTAATATATTGTTTTAAATTTGTTGTGACAGACCCCAATGTAATACTGCTGATCCGTTGAAAGCCTTAGTATTTGACTCCACCTTTGACCACTACCGAGGTGTCGTAGCTAACATTGCACTCTTTGGTGGGGAGATTCAGAAAGGGCATAAAATTGTGTCTGCACACACAAAGAAAAGATACGAAGTTAATGAAGTTGGAATTCTGACTCCAAATGAGCAGCCGACACATAAGCTGTAAGTAAAAATTTCTTACGGTGGAACAGATCATGACTTCGTGCAAGATACAAAATCCTGCATTTCTATTTGCTTTTTGATTTGAGTGGTAAAGGCTGGGAGATGTCTGGGTTTTTTGTTCTTGTTCTTTGGTGGTGGGGTTCATTATTATTATTTATGATGTAATGCTCAATGTCAGTCTTTCATTTTTCAAAAGCTTTTGGGGACTGCTTTTTGGGCACTGCTGGGGGAAGCAGCCATTCTGTCATCTATAGTACATGGGACATCTGGACAGCTAGTTTTTTAAGACTAGCATTTGATATTCAGCTGCCCAATTTATTTCTAGGAACTACCTTGTTTGAGAGTGGAAGGGAATGGGGCTTCATCTTAGTTATTGCTGCAGCGTATTTTGAGGGTGGAAAACTTAAAATCCATGAATGCAACAGCTTCCAGAAACTGGCTCCTCATGGCAGCAGTGGGAAGAAAATCAGGTACTTAGAAGTAGTTGAGAAGCTTTATCAGTTTGCATGGAAGTATATGGTAATTACTTTCTTGGGATATTTTCAGTGAGACTGTCTTACTGTGTGTGTTGAATCCAGCAAGCCCCTTGCTTACTCAGAATTAGAAGAGCAAAAGTGAGGAAAGACTCGTGGGTCAAGATAAAGACAGTTTAAGTGAAGGAAAAAGAAAATAAATAAAAACAAGTGATGCAAAGGCAATCACTCTCCACTAGCCACCTCCCACAAGCAGACTGATGCCCTGCTAGACTACAAGTAATGGCCACCTTGGAAAGACTACAATCCTTGGTTTTCATTGCCAAGCATGAGGTTATATGGCATGGAATATCCCTTTGGCCACTTCGGGTCCTCTGTGCTGGCTTTGTTACCTCCGAGGCTCTAGCCTGTTTGTCAGGGTAGAGTGAGAAACAGAAAACATTCATGCTGTGCAAGCACTATTCAGCAATAGCTAAAACAGTGGTATGTTATCAACCCTATTTTAGTCACAAATCCAAAATGCAGCACCACACAGGGCTGCTATGAAGAAAGATAACTCCAGGCCAGCCAAAAGCAATACATTGTGTTTTTATCTACCGTGTGTTTTTATCTCTCCTAACATCTTATGTGCTGGTGGAAGGTATTTGTCTTTTGTTGTTTCAGCAACTTGCTGTGGTGGCAGCTGGGAACTGTTCTGGGTCTCTCTTAGATCCTTGAGAACTTCCTTCTGGCTCCAGCTTTCAAACTAGGAGCAGCACAGAATTAAAAAGCCAGAACTACAAATGTACTGTTTCACTGTAACAGAAATAGAACTACTTGAGTCAACAGATAGTTTGTCCCTTGAGACAAAGTTTACCACTCAGAGGAGAAACAACTTAAAATCTGTATTTTGAACAGTCTGTGGGCTTTTGAGGGGGGTGGTTTATTTGAATTTCTGACTGAACTAAGTGGGAAAAATAGTGGAAATACTGATAATGCCGAAAAGCATGTCCATATAATGCCAATTTTATTTAGATATGCTGGACAGGTGGGCTACCTGATTGCTGGAATGAAAGAAGTAACAGAAGCCCAAATAGGAGACACACTGTTTTTGTATAAACAGCCAGTGGAGCCTTTGCCTGGCTTTAAGTCAGCGAAGCCAATGGTTTTTGCAGGTGAGGAGTAAACTGATACAAAGCAGAATTAGTTCTTTCCAGTAACAAAAGAAAGAAAGCTATTAAAGCTTTTAAAAAAATGTACATGTGTATTCAGAGTTGCGAGGATTAGAATTTCAGCAAAGTCAAGCTACCGAGGCATGTCACATATAGCTTTGTGTAATTTTCCCCCTGACTTAACAGACAGGATTAATAATAGTTGCAGAATGGTTTTATATGAATACCAGACTAACATGTGTTTTTAGCCATGATTCTTGCTTCCAATGCCAGAAAGCTCATTGATAGCTGGAAAGGGATTGAGACTTTAAAAAAGTAAGTCTTGTTTTTGGGAATTTGTCATCCTGACAATGAGGTTTCCATAATTACTCTGATTTTGTTTGTTTTAAAAAAATAGCAGCTGTTTCTTTTTCACTAAACACGGTAAACTGCCAAATATTAAGTCAGAATGATTCTGTAAAATATTTGACTTTTTAAGATTAAATAGTTCTGTTGAACTGTTTCCACCAGGTTCAGTAACTACTACAAGTACTGTGGAAGATGCCTTTAGAAAGGAATTCTGTAAATCACTTTCCAGACTTCTTGTGAGGGAATGTGTAAAACTCACTTGAACCGTCTCATGGAGATAAGGTGGTCTGTCAGTCAATGTAGAAAGGCGTAACCCTGTAAATAAAGTTTTCTGTATGGTTGTGCGTTGCTTCTTTGTGTAGAGCAATCAACGTTTTCTGAACACATGGTGATGTGAAAAGTGATCTGGTAGAATCTATTTCAGGTAGTAATTATGCAGACAGCTGCTCGTATTAATTTCAAAAGATATAGAAACATATATGCAACTTTCTTAGCTATGACACTTCTTTTGGCCATTCACTCTTAACCTTTGAAGGAACATCTCAGTGAAATTTGTCTGCTTATTAATTTATGCTTAAGCTATATCTTTACACTGCAGCCCTGCAAAACGGTGGTTATATTCAGCTGTGCATCTTCCACAACTGTGAAGGATTAGATAAGTACAGTAACCCTACCATTATGGTTTGAATGTTAGTTCCTCTTTTTCTGAGGTAATCTAAAATTTTACTACATTTAAACTAATTTTGGAGGGGGAAAAAAAAGAAAAAAAATATCCTTGAATTGTTTTTCATATTTTGAAATTGAAGCAGAAAGTAAGCCATTTCTGATTTCATTACCACGGTGAGAGGCATGTTTGAAAGCTAAGTACATGCTAGATAAAGCTCTCTATCACATCAATTCTGTCTAATATGTTTTGACAGGAATGTATCCTGTAGATCAAACAGAATATAATAATCTCAAAAGTGCTTTGGAAAGGCTGACATTGAATGACTCCAGTGTAACTGTTCATCGTGACAGTAGCCTTGCCTTAGGAGCTGGATGGAGGTGAGGCTTTTATACTGCTTTTATTTTTGGAATGGTTTGAAAATTGAGAATGCAAGTTTAAGTTAACTTAAGGTTGAATTAAAATGAATTCAAGATTAGGAGCTTTAATTCAAATTGATATGTAAAGATCAAAAGCATTTGATTTTCTTACTTTCTGTATTTGTGCAGAGTATGCAATTTGTTGTGACTGAGTTTTTGTTCTCAGACTCACACTATTCAACTGTAGGACTGTTTAGTCTTTTGGAGATTGTTTGCTGTGCCTGGTATTGCCAGACTAGCAGTGTAAACATGCTGGATAGAAAACAAAACAAAACAAAGCAATCCACTACGAAATTCCAGTATACAAATACTTTCACCAACAGGATATTTTTTTCCCCAGGCTGGGTTTCCTTGGTCTTTTACATATGGAAGTTTTTAACCAACGTTTGGAGCAAGAGTATAACATTTCTGTTATTTTGACTGCACCTACAGTTCCATATAAAGCTGTTCTTTCCTCAGCAAAGTTGATAAAGGTATGCTGTCAGGGTTATGTAAATCGCAGCTTAAAAGCCTCCTATAATAAATATCTACTTTTTTTTTTAATGTAGACTGGTACTTTATGGAAAACATTTGAAACACCAATATTTAACTTAAAACTTTTTTTTTTAATGTTAACTTTCCTTCCCCCTTCCACTTCAAGCACTCTCTTTTTATATCTTATACCTGTCCTTGAAGCAAAGGACACGTCTTGCTATATTCTTCTAAGTGCATACTGACTAGACTGAGTTTAAAGCAGGTGAAATAATCTTACAGGTTTTATCAGTCAAAAAACATTAATGTTTTTAAGAATAGCTTGTAATACTACTGTAGACTGGCAGGGCTGGTGAAGACAGGTGAGTTTTTGATCACAGTGAAACAGGCATGTCCAAGCTTCATTGAATTGGGTGCAAATAATATTACTGTGCTTGAGTTTGAGAGAGATATGAGCATCTACTGACAGAAGGCTGCAAATAGCCTGGCTATTATTATCCAACATGTACCTGTAAACACTACAGAAAATCTGTAAATTCCAAACAACTTGTATAAAAAAGGTTGCTGTACTTGCAAGGTGTAAGGCATAGACCCTTTTTCTCTTCACTTGTTTTGGTTTCTTGCTTAGGCAGTGTAGCAGCTATGAATGAAGTAGTTGACACCTTTGGTGCATAAGTGATTCTAGATTGCTGATGTGGAACACTGTTTTCAAACAGTGCTGAAGTTGGGTCCTTGCTCAAGAACATTGCCTTGTCAGTGAAAGTGATACAATCAGTTGCTTTGGTATGTACATTATATGAAGCAAGACCTTCCTTTTATCCTTGCTTCAGAAGGATAACTCCAGCCCCTATCGGGATGTTGGAACTACAAGAAATAGGTAATGAAAGCACTTGCACAGGAATCTAAGACTTAATTTCTAAGCCCACTTCAGCTTGTAAGGGAGCCTGAACCCAAAGTTCTACTTAGAGGAGAATGTCCCCATCACCAGACTGCAGAAGAATTGGAGCAGGTCTTTTGCTGAAGCTGTGCCTTCCTTACACATTATAGGATCAGGATGGAGTAAGAAGAAAGATCCTTGCTCTGCAGGGTAGAGAGAGATGGAAAGATGGACAGAAAGGCTTTTTTATTTCTATGGATAGTCCTAGGATGTAGTCCTAGTTCTAAACACTTCTATTTAAAACTCACTGGATAAAATACTTTGAAAACTCATTTTCTTACCAAAAGTAATTCCTATAATCTTTCTGCATAATAATATTGAAAGATATGATCAGGGACTTCTATATGTGATGTAGAAATCTCCTTTAAAATTGTGCTTGGTATAAATTTGATTTGCCTAATTCACAAATGTTTCCAAGCAATTGAAACATTTTTTTTAGCATTTTTATCAATGCTATTTTTGTCTCCTTTGTCTACTTATTTTGTAAAATTACAGTATCTGTTTTATTTGTTTGTTTTCAGGAGTATGGTAAAGCAGAGATTACTATTATCAACCCTGCTCAGTTTCCTGATAAACTTTCAGTATCTGAATATTTAGAGCCAACTGTTCTTGGTACTATTGTAACACCTCATGAATATATTGGGAAAATAATCGCTTTGTGTCAGGTTGGTATGTAGTCTTAATTTTGTCATTTGCATTTTTAAGCTCTTTGTATAATACTTAAAGTGAAAATACTAGATAGTAAGATATTAGATATTAGAACTTAAAGAGTATCTTTGACAGTAATTATACTTTTTTTTTTTTTCCTTCAAAAGTATTTAAACTTTTTATGTGTCAAATTACTTCTGAACTACAAAATACATATAGTGAAAGTTAGTGATGAAGCTCAGTGACAACAAAGTACCTGGTCAGGCATCTGGCACTAGACAAATTCATAGCTAGTTCAAAACTTCCTGAAAGAATGGAATCGCAGCAGTAAGCAGAAGCTGTTAAGGATTTCAGAAATTCAGCTTTCAGAGAAGATAGACTTGAATCATTTGTCCAGTTAAGTCACAACCACTTCATTTCTTATGGTTCTGCAGTTTGTTCTGGGACTCTAGCAAACTACCAGTAAGTTACTCTGAGGCTTGAAGTATGTGAGTTTTCTTGTGTAACTGGATAGCTGTTTATTTTAATTTGCTTTGTATTTATTTGTAGAAAATTTCTGTCCAGTGGAACTGAAACAATTTTTATTTGTCTAGGATCGTAGGGCAGTCCAGAAGGATATGGTGTACATTGATGAACACAGGGTTATGCTAAAATACCTCTTTCCACTGAATGAAATCGTGGTGGATTTTTATGATGCCCTTAAGTCTCTGTCTTCTGGTTATGCAAGGTAACTACCTCTTATGTACCCTTTTCCCCTCCCCACCACCCTGGACACTGAGTGGTAAAACAAAAAAAGATCTGAGGAGAAGCTATGGAAGGGCACAAGTGAAGAATAATCTTTTATGGTGGTGCTGCAAATCGAGTCTTACTTCACCTTTAATGAATTAGATTCACTGTGAAAATGGATGGAAATAAATCTGAAAAACACCAAAAGTGCATTGCTACCTAATAATATTCTCTGGTGATGCATCTGTTTTTCAAGTGTGACTTAGAGAGTGGTACTTGCTCGTCTGGATGAATAAGATCTAGATGGTTCTTACTTGTCTGAAGTGACAATGGGCATTTTTTTATCAAAGGCATAACTGAAAATATACTCCTCCATTTAAGAATTTTTGCTAACTGATAGACAGTAAGGCCCCTACCTACCAAAGGAGAAACAGGGTTTCTTTTGAAATGAAGATTAAAACTTGGTATAAATTCATTAAGAGATTGCAGTAAGAATGTGGATTTTTGATTGATTTACCTCAATTTTTGATTGATTTACCTTGCTCAGTAGGTGGAGGACAAGATGATATCTTCTGCTGCCTTGGAGATGAGATTTATCTGCAGTAAATTTCTAGTCTGGTCTTGCATAAGGGAGATGTATTAAGAGACTATTCAAAACTATGCTTCTATTTTAATAAAAAGATTGAGTGTTTTATTAAGAAGCATGTCTAAAACTTAAAATCTATGGAACAAAACGCAGTGCGTGTGTGTGTGTGTGTGTGTATATATAAAAATATAAATTTTTTTTTTTTTTTTTTACAAAATCATCACCAAGTTTTAAACTTTTGTTTAGTTTTGATTATGAAGATGCAGGATACCAGGCAGCAGACCTTATCAAAATGGATATTCTTCTAAATGGAAATCCAGTTGAAGAACTGGCAACAGTAATACACAAGTAGGTTGACTGTATTCTCTGTTCCAAAGAAATAAGACTTCCTATTAATATACAATGAAAACATATACATGTATTACTAATATATAACAAATATGTACGAATAGAGCATTGAGGATTTCACCACATCACCACTTCTGGACATGATCTGAGAAAGAGAAGCATTGAAGTGCTAGATATATTTTTGTGGTAAGGTAGGGCAGGGAGGAGAAGGAAATGCGAAATGGCAATCTTTTAAGGAGCCGGAAAAAAATAAATACAAACCAGTCTAGGAGGTGCCGGCCGAATCATTTATGGCACCTATTATTTACTACTGGAAAAAAAAAAAAAATGGTTTTATGCTTCCAGTAATTCCTGTTCTTTAGAAGTTTGTTTTTATCTTGTCTCTAGTCAGAGTACCAGGAGAATGTAAATATTTACTGGATGTAATTACCTCAGACATTTTTTTGCTAAAATGATTACATTTCCATGAGTTTCTTGGGAATTACTAGTTTGTTGGTGAGATTAATGCCTTCCTGTTTCCAGCCTCTCCCCTTGCTTTCTTCTCATGAAGTCTTTATAAGGCTTCCTTCTGTAACTTCAGCATCCCTTTCCAGTACTTCTGAGATCAACTTGAAGATCGGTTTTGGGTTGTTTTTGTTTTGTTTTGTTTTTCTTAAAATACTAACTTGTAGTTACTAAAAATTTTGATATTTTAATATTTTTTACATAACTACAATTCTGAAATCCTTGGAATTCCTTAACTCCAGAAGGTCAGTGGAAGAAAATGAAACCCTTACTTTGTTCAGTAAGATAACGTGGCTGGAGTGGAATAACTCGCTCGGCTACATTTGCTACTTAATGTGTTTTTCATAAATATGTGGCGTTTAGTAATCTACCACCTCTCTTGCTTTGAAAAGATGCAAAATGGAGTGGCCAACCTTGCAAAAGTTAGTTATTGCTTTAACATGTTTCGTCATTGGTTTAGCTTGCCTCCTGGAACTATTTTGCTCAGTAAAACTAATGATAGCCTTTCTTTTAGCTTTAGATTACAAATTACTTTAACTTGCAGTCAGCATTCATTCTGCTCCTGCTTCAGTCCTCTCACTGTAAATAGACTACATCTGCCTATATAAAAAGAATTACGCTGAATTATGTTTCCAGAGAAAGAATTACTGAGACTACTGTAAGCTCAGTACTAAGCTAGCCATTATTATTAGTCCTAATTACACAAATAAATGTCTCTCTCTTCTAAAACTGTAATGCTTAATCAGCATTACTTATGTACTTCATGCTTCCACTGTTTGCTTTAGACAGGTAGTAGGGAGTCATATTGTTTCTACATGAAAACATGTAAAACATTTTTCAGCTGTATGTTGCTAAAAATATTCACTAAATATGAATGTTTTTAGAGAGAAGAGACCCATTTTTTTTCAATGGCTTATGAAAATATCTGTTTAGTAGCTTCTTTAGGCCTTTTGTCATTTTCTTTTTGCAAAATCTGAAGCATATACAGATGCTAAATACATATTATTTTTATTAGCAGATGACAAGTGTACATTAAAACATTTTTTTCCTTGTTACATAAAAACAGATGTTTTAAAAATATTTCTGTAATATGTAGATCTTTTGACCTTTCAGGCCTACAGTCAGTAAAAATTCTCCTTGACCTTCTAGTTTAAAATTGCATTTGAAGCTGTGACAGTATTCAAAATGGCTTTAGTGTGATAGATAATCAGGTTGTTTATTATAAATATTTTAAATTTATTTGGAAGACCTTCTGGAATTACAATCTTATCACTTGTTTCCTAGAAACAGGTGACATGCAGAGACCACTTACCATATGTAAAATGATTATCTGATCAATTTAGTCTTTAGATCTATTTTTGGGCTTGTATTACTCTTTCTGAAAACACTGGTGACTTCTTTTTTCAGTGATAAGGCATATGCTACTGGTAAACTCCTGTGTGAACGTTTAAAAGATACTATACCTAGACAGTTGTTTGAAATAGCCATCCAGGCTGCTGTTGGCAAGAAAATCATTGCAAGAGAAACGTAAGTGAAGCCCTTCTGTTTCCCTATGTTTTGTTTTTGGGTTTTTTTAAATAGAAGATATGGACTTTTAATGTCTTGCCCAAATAGTTTAACACATTACAGTACTTTGATTTTACTGTAAAGCCTTATTTTTCTATATGCTACCAGACCTCTTGAAAAACCAGAAATACATTTTAGCGGTGACTGTGTCCAAAGGACTTTGTATAAATTTAATTGAAAAAATGTATTTTTATTTTCAGTTGCTTGTGGTCAACATTGCACTTAGCGGGTAGGGTATTACTTGCAACACCCATGTGTCCACTTCCTCTTCGGCAGTGGAAAAAGTTTCTTACTACTGAAAAAAAATTAGCTAGTTGTGGAATAGTTTAATCTCTGGGAAAGTCAGAAAAAAAAAAAAAAAAGAACTTAACTGTGCTGTTCCGAAAGAAATATGTTGCAAGCTGAACGCACAACTGTTTATCAGCAGCACTCACTTCTTTTAGAGCAAACTGTTTCTATGATGTTGTGTTTCTTGTTGTGTTTTTGCTGTTGCTGTTTAAATAGGATTTAAATTGTGGTAAAAAAATTAAAGGTAGGTGCTGTAAGAATTTGTGTGTACATATCTATATGCTCACACGTAACACTTACTGTGAATCATAGCAGAAATCTTAGATAAAAAGGCCAGGCTGTAATTTTTATGTACATATACACCCTAAGGGATATTTCTAGAATTTAGAAACGTGAATTAAGTCTTCTGTTTAGAACTCTGTCTTCTGTACACAAAATATGAAAATGTCATGATTCCAGTGCATCTTACAAAACTAGTAGAAAAACAATGCTTAGTGTTTTGGCAACTCAGTATTTAGCTTCAACATATAGATGTTGATATGTTAACCTACATATGTTATTTTATTTTACAGGCTGAAAGCTTACAGAAAAAATGTTGTGGCAAAATGTGTAGGTTTTTTTCATTTTTTTTATGTTTCTGCTGTATGTAAACCTAAGAGTCTTGCTAATGTCATAGGCCTATCTTTTCCTAGAAACCCAGCAAAGACATGTTCTACTTGTGCTCCTAAGTGTCAACAGAATATTAACAGAGACTTTTAAGCTTTTATTTTAAAATTCAACTCATGTAACCTCTAGTTTCATGCAGTCAGAGTGGATCAGAAAGAGTAATGTTTTTTTTTCAAAATTACAGACTAAACATGAACTCCACAGAGTGTATGTGTGGTCACTCCTGTCTCCTCACCATTTTCTAATAATTGTAGACATATAGTAAGTGTATGTGTGTGTCCATACACACATGTGTAACTTTGTTTGTTTCCTAAATTGTGTTTTTCCGGGTGATTGAAGAAGCTATAAAAATGCTTCTTTAGAGACTGATTGTGATTAGACTTTTACTTAGGTTTTCAGTAATACATCATGGCCAGGCCTTAAATATGCAGTAGTTGACCATCAACAAGACTGGACAAAGCTATAGGAAAAACGTGATGCTTCTTACTTATCTTTAACTCTCGGAAGCAAAAATTAAACAAGTGTCCCTTTCTCACAACTATCACAGAATTCTTCTGCTCAGCATATATGTGGGATGGTGTTTGTTCAACATTGTGTAAGGGTTCAGTTAATTTATCTAGACATAAGCAACTAGTGCTAGTCCCACTAGCCCCAGTGTATCTGAGCTGGCATCCTGCTGCTGTTCCAAGGGGGTCTGGATATCCTATAGGTTTTGTCTAATGTCAGCCAGACTTACATGAATGTATATAATTAGGTAACTTTGAACCCTCAGTTTTCTAAATGAACATGCTTACTTGCTCCCTTGTTTTAACTAGTGGCCTTTTGGGTTAACTGTTGGGAGTGTAAAATAATCTTTTGTCATAATTAAACTAGCCTTTCTGATTATTTTTAAGCCCTTGGGTTTGGTGTTCCTGAAGTGAACTGTAGTTGCATTTAAACTTACTAAAATATGTTTCCTTTTCATAGTACGGTGGAGACATTACAAGAAGAATGAAGCTTTTAAAGAGGCAGGCAGAAGGGAAGAAGTTGATGAGAAAAATTGGCAATGTGGAAGTACCAAGAGATGCCTTTATACGTGTTCTAAAGAGACAAACTGACAAATAGAGATCAGTGACATGCAGCTGATTAGTCTCTCAACTTTTTGTAGACAGCAGCATAATGAGCTAATGTATAATTTATCACTGTGAAAGGGAACATATTTGACTTTAAATGGTGTAAATTAAATATATGTGGGAACATAAATTGAAAGGATTATGTACTTAAAATGTGCAGACACTTGTAGATTATTATGAAATTAAAATTACTTAATTTGCCTTAACTGAATAGAAGTTTTCATTGTATTGTTTTTAATTGTATTTAATTGTTTTCATACTTTTAACAGTTAAAATTTAACATAATTATGTTTTATTTTTGCATTGCAAGTCTTTATATGAGAGAACGGGAACAATGTGGCAAAAAGTTTATAAAAACAATTGAAAGGTTGGTAAAGACAAACAATCATAGAATCATAGAATGGTTTGG